TCATAGCTGCACATCCTTCTAGTTGCTGTATGTGGGACACGGCCTCAGCATGGCCGGAGAAGCGGTGCATCGGTGTGCGCCCGGGATCCGAACCCGGGCCGCCAGCAGCAGAGTGCGCACACTTAACTGCTAAGCCACGGGGCCGGCCCCACTGAAGCATTTTTGTAACAGCAAAACACTGGAAACAACCTAATGTCCATCAAAAATGAATTGGTTAAATTAATTATGGTATATCTATATAATGGAATACTTAAAAAATACTTTAAAAGCTACTTGAAAAGAAGACTGAGGAAGTTCTTTATGTATTGGTCTTTAAAATCTTTAAGAAATATTAAGGGGAAAAGCAAGGTGCAAAACTGCATGTATAATATGGTGTCAACTGTGTATAAAAGGAAGGGGGAATTTTTTAATATATATATACATATATATATATTTGTATTACTTTGTAAATGAAATAGAAATGTTTTTAAAAATCTCCAAAAGAATAAACTAATAAGAGTAGTTATGTTATTGGTGAATAGGGGACAAGTGTACGAGGGAAACTTTTTACTATATACCTTTTATAGTTTATTTTTAACCATGTAAACCTACGATCTTTTCAAAAATGTAAATTTTAAAAAGATAATTGAGTCACCTTACAAAATTATAATGCAAAAGCAGACTAAAAAGCTAAAGACCCCTTTAAGCCCCACCCCTACCACCACCACTATCCCCATATCCCCCTCCATCCCCTACCCCAGATTCCGCACCCCCAAGAGTAATGACAGTTAACAGCCTGGCATATATCCACCAGGTTATTTTCTTTATGTTTATAAGTAAAAAAATATATGCACAGAAGGAGGTTTTTGTTTTTAGAAAAATGGAATTATACACATCGCTCTGAAGTTTGCTTTCTTCACTTAACATTTTATCATAGATTTCTTTCTATGTCAGCACAAATGGCTTTAAACACCTTTTTTAATGGCTGTACAGTAATCTGTAGTGTGAATATACCATAGTGTAACCAGCTCTACCAATGTGTTTTTAGTTCTAGATAAAGCTGCAATGAACATCCTAAATATTTAATGCACAGATGTAAGTATTTCAGTAGAAGAGATTCTGAACATTGCTTCTAGTTTTCTTAAAAATTTATTTGGGTGCAGAATAAGATTTTATTGGGAGAAAAAGGTTCTATTCTAAAAATGTCTGAAAAAGACATCACTGATTTTAAATGTGAACAAGGAGAGAGGATCCAAATAATTTTAATCAATAAACTAATTTACTAAAATTTCTTAAAATTATATAATATGAAAGGAAAATTTAAGGGCAAAATTATCATTAAATATATCTTATTCATCCTGTATCACTTTCTATACTCAAATAAATTCCAGGCAGATAAAACATTTGAGTACAAAAGATGGAACTGTTAAAATATTAGAATTTAAAAAAAACGGAAGGGGAGTTTTAAAAATTTCACTTTAAAGGATATCAGAATGAGGATGGCCTAAATAACACAAAACCCAGAATCCACAAAATACTGATTAAATTTTTCCAGGATAAATCAATGTTTTTTTAAAAAACAGCTTTATTAAGGTATACATCACCTACCATAAAATTCACTCATTTTAAGTGTATGAGTCAATGATATTTATTAAATTTATAGAGTTGGGTATCCACCACTACCATCCGGTTTTAGAACACTTCCAATCACCCCAAAAAGATCCCTCTTGCCGTCTGCAGTTAATCACCATTCCCACCCCCAGGCAATCACTAATCTGCTTTCTGTCTCTATAGATTTATCTTTTCTGGACATTTCATATAGGCAGAATCATACATGTGGCCTTTTGTTTCTGGCTTCTTTCACTCAACATAATGTTTTCAAAGTTCAACCACATTGTAGCATGTATCAGTACTTCATTCCTATATATTGCTGAATATCCTTTTTTATCTAGTCACCATCTGACAGACATTGGATTATTTACAATTTTTGGCTATTATGAACAGTGCTGCTGAGAACATTAACGTGGCAAGTCTTTGTGTAGATGAATGTCTTCATTTCTCTTGGGCAGATATGTACAAGTGGAATTGCTGGGTCGTATGCTAAGTTTATGTTTAACTTTTAAAGAAAATGTCAAACTGTTTTCCAAAGTGCCTGTACCATTTTACATGCTCACCAGTAACATAAAAGGGTTCCTGTTTCTTCACTTCCTGGCCAATATGTGTCACTGTGTTCTTGATTATAGCCATTTGATTATAGTGGGTGTCAAACGTTATCTCACAGTG